AAAAAAAAAAAAAAAGCTCTTTTGTTCAATTTTTATTTGAAAGCATTTATTGCGTGCATTTTTGTTAAGGAAAATACTGCACTTCATTATTCTGTATCACATGGCAACTTTGATGTTGTTAGCGTAATTCTGGATTCAAGAGTTTGTAATTTGGATAAAGCTAACAAGGTTTGTTCGATAATTATTCTACTTTTATAATTTTACTGCGCCTTCAAAGATGGTACAAAAATGCCGAGCAGAGATAACGTTGGGTGAAAAAAATATGCGAGCGAAATGTTGTTGAACTTAAAGTGTCAGGAACTGCTATTCAAAAGCACAAAATTAATATTTTGAGGATATTCTTTTGGAATTGAGCTTCCTCGATTTTCGATCATTTTGCTCTTTTTATCACTGTTTTAAAGTAGATTAAGCGGTTATACTTTACTTCTATGACAATTTTGCTTTTTAATGCTGATCCCGTAAGTTTAGGCAGGTTATACCGCTGTTATGTTAGCGGCACTATGCGATATTAAGGATGAGATAGAATCTGCTGTAATTCGGAGGCTGTTCCAGATGGGGAACGTTAATGCAAAAGCTACTCAAGTAAGATGACAAGTTTTGTTTTCAACATTTCTTATCGCAATAACGGCAAAGCCATCGATTTCTTATTTGCTGGGTTGCTTACTCTATTGAAGGGTGAGAATCTAATTTTCTGATAACGCTACTGCCACTAGCAGTTTGCATTACCATGTAATAGGGCAGGACTGTTGAGGAGCAAAATTCAGTAAAACTTTATCACTTAATTTTAGCATGGTCAAACGGCTTTGATGTTGGCGGTATCACATGGTAAAATGAACAACACACGCCTACTGTTACAGTGTGGTGCAGATCTGAATATGCAGGTTGGTTGATTGATCGGATACACTGTGTAACGATAAACTGTGTAATCAATAGTAACGATAAACTCTGTGCCTGCGAAGAGTTTTATTTTTGACTGCATCGGGAAAGTATAATTGGTCTTAAGTTGAGTTGTACACTGATTTCTGCCTATTTTGTTTTAGGATGAGGAAGGTTCCACCGCCCTTATGTGTGCTGCGGAGCATGGACACAAAGAGATTGTTAAGTTGCTGTTAGCTCAACCGGATATTGATGCTTCAATCTCAGATTGTGTAA